TTTATTCTGACCGATTAACCCGATTCCGATCCGGATCGCCGATTCGCCGATCCGGATCTGTTTTTGAAAAGCCCGATCCGGGTCACCGATCCGGTTTTTAAACCATTGGTTTTAACAAATAAATAGGTAAGTCAGTGGAGATTTGTACTCCTACCCTTTGATGAGAATAGAGTCAGAGACTGGTCTAAATTTTAATTTTTTTGACTTGCTTGAGGGTTTAGAAAGATTGAGCCAAAGCTAAATAGATTTCAATCGAGTTGCAGGGTTTAGAGGGATACGAGGGATATGAGATTCGGGTTTCAAGGATCAAAAGTGACAAAAGTGGTCAAGTGGGCAAAAGCTAGGGTTCTTGACCCGAAAATGACAGGGAAAAGGTCCAACTCCCTTACCAGTCCACTAATGAACCAAGGACCTTTTAATCCATTTTATTACATTAATTGAATCACCTTCTATAGCAACTTTATATTAAATTCTCTACCAACTTCACTACTTGAAGAACAGACCCCTTGAAGAACAGACCTAAGCTAAGCCTCATTAGCCATTGACAAGCCCATTGGACCATGGTATTTCTTCAACACCAATCTTTTGTTATCTTTAATAATGCTACTACCTATTCCAATTTGTCCAGGGTTCCCAAATGAACTCCCATCAAAATTAAGGTTAATCCAACCTTCTAAGGGTGCTTCCCACACTCCCACACCTAGATTTTTTACAGCTCTGTCCTTGAATAAAACATGAGCATTGAACATAAGAGCAATTTGAAAAACACCCCACCACTCTTCTATTAGGGCACGTTTGATTCATGTGAAATAGTTTTCTTGTAGGAAATTAATTTCTTAGGAAATCGTATTCTTAGATTTAGATTTCACTTTTTTTTTTTTTTTCTCATGTTTGGTAATACTATTTAGATTTCCTATAAAGTTGTTTTCTTTCGTTTGGTATCTTATTGGGGAATCTACCTTCCTGAAATCTGGAATGTAAGCCATTTTCTCTCTCTAGAAATCCAATCGCTCTCTCTAAAACCCATCCTCTCTCTAGAAACCTAATCTTTCTTTCTCTATCTAAAAACCTATTATCTCTCTGTAGAAACCCAATCTTCCTTGCCCTTTCTAAAAATCCATCAATTTTCTCTCTCTAAAAACCCACTCTGTCTAGAAACCCAATCTCTCTTTCTCTTTCTAAAAACCCATTATCTCTTTCTCTCGTATAAAAACCTAATCTTTCTCTCAAAAAAACTATTCTCTCTCTAGAAATCCTCTCTTTCTCTCTCTAATATTCCATTTTCTCTTTCCCTCTCTAAAAACTCAATCTCTCTTTCTCTCTATAAAAATTGATTCTCTCTAAAAACCCAATCTCTCT